CCGGAGTGCTAGGAGCAGCGACTAACATGGGAGAGCACCTGAGTTAGCGCGATGGGCTCACTAATTATGCTCAGTACTATGCCAGGTCTACTTTTAATGTGAAAGCATTAACTGGGGGGGGGGGGGGGGGGGGGGGGGGGGGGGCGGGCGGGCGGGTCCCGTGGAGCGAGCCGACGTTATCAGCTTTGAAGCCGTGCCAAACGGCACCTTAACTCCTTTCTCTAACGGCGCATTCCCACCGGCGATGCGATCTAGTCGTGCGATAACTTTCATCGCAAAAGCGACCATCATGAGCAAAAAGCGACGCAATTTGAGCAGTCGCTACTTGACCCGACTTTTTTGCAATGCGATCTAGTCGCGGAGCGGCTGAGCCAATCAACGGCGTTCGGAGCGATAGTTTTCGAGAAACGACTCGCCAACGAAGGCGCTGGACTCGCTCATCGCGCACGCCGGTGTGACCATCTAACTTTTTTAGAGCGCAGCTCTTAGGGGCCCGTTCCCGGCTTGAGCGGCGTCGCCGTCGCCGTCGGCGTCGGCGTCGGCGTCGGCGTAACCGCAACCCTCGTAACCCTCGTGAGGGTTACGAGGGTTAATCTCATGAGGGTTACCCTCACGAGGATCACGAGGGCCACGAGGATTACTTACCCTCGTAACCCTCACGAGGGTTACGAGGGTTAGTTACCCTCAAAAGGGTTACCTTCACGAGGGTTACCCTCACGAGGGTTACTTATCCTTGTAACCCTCACGAGGGTTACGAGGGTTAGTAACCCTCGTGAGGGTAACCCTCGTGAAGGTAACCCTTTTGAGGGTTACGAGGGTTAGTAACCCTCGTGAGGGTAACCTTCACGAGGGTTACCCTCACGAGGGTTATGAGAGTTACCCTCACGAGGGTTACTCACCCTCGTAACCCTCACGAGGGTTACGAGGGTTAGTTACCCTCACGAGGGTCACGAGGGTTATGAGAGTTACCCTTACGAGGGTCACGAGAGTTACCCTCACGAGGGTCACGAGAGTTGCCCTCACAAGGGTTACTAGGGTTACCCTCACGAGGGTCACGATGGTTACCCAGGTCGTGACCCCCCCTGGGGTCACGTGACCTGGGGATACCCCCCGAGGTCACGTGACCCCCCGTTGACGTCATAGGCACTGATGACGTCGTCAGTGACGTCACTGATGACGTCACCGGCATCCGCATCGTCATCGTCATCATCACTGATGACGTCATTAGTGACGTCTCTGATGACGTCACCGGCATCCGCATCGTCATCATCATCACTGATGGCGTCATCAGTGACGCTACTGATGACGTCATCGGTATCGTCACGTGGCCCCAGGTCACGTGACCCCCCGACGTCACGTGACGCCCCAAGGTCACGTGACTCCCACAAGGTCACGTGACCCACAAGGTCACGTGACCCCCAAGGTCACGTGACCCCCCCGCCCCCCCGAGGTCACTTGACCCACCCCCCAGTACCCTTCCCTCCTCCTCCTCAAGAGCTGCGCTCTAATTCGGCGTTACAGGGAGTTGTAAACGGCTTTCATTTTTTGCGATGCGATCTAGTCGCATCGCGCGACTGCTTACATCGCCGGTGGGAATGCGCCTTAAATGAAGCCGGCTCCCAGCAATGAAACCATGCAAAAAGCCTAGCCCTACGGCACCTAGTTTTCCCAATCCCAAAGGAGCGGAGTGAAGCTGTTGGATTTTGGCTTCAATCCCATTGGTTGGCGCGCGTCATAGTTTCAAGGAACGAGGCCCCCATTGGCTGCTGCAAGTCGGTTTCAATGGCCGCCACCCCATGGCACTGCAAGTCCGCACTGTCAGCTCGCTGGTAACACGAAGCGTCCAAGGTCAGAGCGGCGAAGAGAGCGCCCGATCTGGCCGTCGACGCAAATATGCCGCAGAGGAAACACGGGAGCGGAAGAACGGCATGCATGCTTTCGCATTCACAACTCGTAAGAAGTGCTTAGGTGTACCTCGGGCCTTATTTTTTTTTTTTTTTTTGTCTTGGTGGTAGGTTGATTTCCAATTTTAGAAATTTGCATCGAGAAAGAAAAAAAAATGTGGGTCTATATTTGGATTTACACTGCAACCCACTTATAACGATAATGAGAAAACCCACAATTTCAATCGTTATAACCGATTATCGTAGTATCTGAACTAGAAATTGATCATTTCTAGTCTAGAAACTCTAAAAAGTGATCATTATAAGAGGTACCTCGTTATATCTGGTATCGTTATAAGTGGGTTACACTGTATATTTGTTCCCGTGCAGCTGTCGACCGAAAGAACTTGACTTCACTCGGGTTCCAACGTTGCTAAGGAGCAGCGTCACTTGCACGAGTGTAGGCTTTCATAATATTTGGGGGTGGTTGTTTTGGCAGTTCTTGAGTTCAGTAGGTTCATAAAACTTGGGGGACACATTTTTGTTCATAGACGAGCTATTTTTTTGCAGGCATTTCAGGGAACTTCTATATAGAGGCTAAATAAACTACCGGCTGTAAAAGTGTGAGGGATGAAACTTTATCCCAACTGATGTGTTGCGCTGTGGTTAATTTTTCATCAATTGTTTAGTACCCGTTATAAATGGAACCTTCTCTGATTAGAGCCTTATTTATAAAAAGAATGCTCTTTGCTCCTTTGGTGCTCCATCTCTTCTTATTACAAAGGGTAATAAGTAATAGGCTCCAGTTGCAAAGAGGAACCCTCAGTCATTATCAAAGATTAGCTCATTTAGCGATGCAATCACTTTTTTAATTTTCGAGTGATGTGCTAACAGATGTTGGCACCTGCTTCAAAAGCATCAGTGGCTGCTCTAAAGAAATATTTTGCCTGCTCCAGAACCGGCTACAAAAGGACAAACACCACTTGCATTACTGGATTAGCTAAAAACCGGTTAGCCAAGGATCAATTGGGTACTTTTTTTCCCATAAGACGTCCGATACCCTTCATAACAGGGGTCTCCAAAACGCGACCCATGGGCCGCAGACGCTGCTTACAGGCTACGAGTCCCGGTTCCCATGTCTCGAGTGCTATAGAAATGGCATGCGCCACCATGATCTCATCTTGTCGATTACTTTTCACTTGAAACATAGCTCCACTCTTTTAACGTATTCGCATAGTTTATACTTGTAATGTGTGCATTTGCCCTTTGTTTCGCTTTATACTTTGCTTCCCAGCTTTTTGTAATGCACAATAATTTCGCTACTGGGCTGCAAGCGCGAGCTATTTGTGAAGAGTGCATTTCAGCCGTGCAAACTCTCAGTCGGCAGAAGCAACTGCCAAAGGTAAAGCTACGAGCTCAGGATTCTCTCCTTCAAAAAAGATGTCACCGATAAAAGACAAGTATTTGGTCGAGTGTTGTAGTAAAGATCGTCAGGAAAGCAACAACTGTCATATTAGGTGATTATTTTTTTAGAGACACGTCGAGCTTGGTTATTTTCTGGGTGAATTGCGCGACAGGAATGACAGTGTAGTACTTGTTCTATTAAACATGCCAGCACGTTGGCGGGGCGGTGTAATTTTAATTCTTAGCACATCATCAGGTCGGGGCCCAAAGTTGTCTTCCAAACAAATCAAATCTAAAGATGTCACTGGGAAAAGTGAGTTTACAAAAAACAGAAAGCACAAGTTGAATTGTGATGTCGATAATAGCAAATGGAGTTCAATGTTAACAAAACTAAATTCATTAACTTGATCACAAAGAAAAACAGTAACCAGTTTATTTGATGCGAAACAGTATGTCGGCAGCAATTTCAGTCCATGGGAACTTCCATATAATCGCTGCAAAAGCCAACTGAAGTTTAGGAGCGTCATCTTTATAAGGTCGTGCAGGAAGCTCAACTCGCTGCATCTCTCTTCAGGTAGAATATGCATCACTTGTCTGGAACCCCCATCAGTTATGCCTAGGAAGGAAGCTGCGCAAAATCGGGACACTCCGTCCCTCGTAACTGTGAGCTTTTCACTGCATTCAAAGCTCTACTAAACATTCCTCTTTCAAAAAAAAAAACTAATTATTAAAAAAAAAAAAAATAATAATATGCATACTGTCCTCCAGGTTTGGCTACCTGCCTTGAGACAGGAACTGGTTACACCTGGGACCAATCTGTTCTCTTCATCCCAACTAGCCATCTCTGACTGGAACAATCTATCTGAGCACACTGTTAACATCCTAGAAATTCATGCTTTCAGGGTCTGCTGCTCTACTCCATTCGGAATCCTGTTTGTAGCATTAATTTTATGTTGCCTCACTTTGATGGTTGAATCTTTGCCTCCTCTATGTAGAACACTTTGTCGGCATTAGGATAAAGGAGTTGTGTAGACAGATAATATGGTTCTGCAAGGTGAGTCTATACTGAGAGACATTTTAGCAAAGGTGACATAGCATGTTTTAATACTACCAGTGGGGCTACCGGTGACAAATCTTGAGTGCCATGTGGCATGGATAGTCTCCACAAACATGAAAGGCCCATTGGATGAGGTAGTTTTGGGTGGCTGTGCTGGGTTTACTTTGGCCAGGCCTACATTGCTTGGGGTGAGGAAATAAATGAACCTTCGTTCTCTCCCTAACAATAAAGTACATCTGGCCAAAGTGTGCTTAGCAATAAGCTGCCTTGGGCCCTTTATACGGGGCGTTACTGAAAATGCGGGCCGTTTTTACAAACAGATGCAAAAAGTATGCACCGTGCAGAGAAAACCTTCATGTTGTATGGGTCTCTGCCAAAAGAGCCCATTAGGAAAAATGAATAAATTATGATTAGTTTGTTAATTACTTTCGACTAATTAACTTTTTCATTAGTAAATTTATAGGTATGGTTTCAATTAGGAACCTTCAAGGTATCGTCAAAAACCGCCAAATGAACTAATTTTAGAAAGATATTTTATGGCATTCCAAAAAAAGACAATTTAGATGCATTTCTAGGTTGAGGTTTCTTATCGGAACGCACCTTTATGCCACAGTTGTACGCATGATTATGCTTATTGCACTAACTTCTTCCTGCAGGACTCTGACAGTGAGGTGAGCAGTATTGCGGCGTCCGTTCCCGATATCACAGTGGCCGTCAAAAGTCACTCCTACGGCGCGTCTTCTACGAAGTACTTGTGATTTCAAGCAATTTGAGAGGCACAGGTTTTCTACGTATGGACTTCCCGTGTTCGGATAGAGCAGTGTAAATAGACAGAGCTGACCAAACTGCATGCTTTTCAAAGAAACTTTTTTTATCCATCCTACTGCCGGATGCCTTTTATTTTACCAAGTGGTCCGATCTGAATAAATGGAACATTTTAGAACCATGTTTTTCGGCAACGATCCATAATAAATTGTTCAGAGGCTGCTGCATGTGGTGTCTTAAATGAGCATTGTACTTTTCAGCAATGCATTGTATAATTTGTTAAAATAATTGTTGCGTGCAGGGTCTTTTAGATGAGCTAAAGAATGCTTTTCAGCAACCAATTGTATAATAAATACTTAAGTGGCTGCTGTCGTTTAAATGGCCTGAACTGACATCATTGAAAAGTATCATTCTTTTGATCAATAAATTTTATAGTTCTTGTGAGGAGCTTGGCTTTAGCCTGCCTCTTCATTGACTTCATGGGTGATGCAAGGTACAAACGGGGGTGGGCAAAGCTGCACGCCATGTTTGCATTAGACTCCACAATGGGCCATGTGTAAGAATGGCTTGCTGATTCTTTTCTTATTATATGGTAGAGGGAGTCCTCTACACCCATTACAGTTCAACAGCACCAGACTATAAATACAACCGGATGAACGTAACAAAAAAAGAAATACATAGAATACATAAACAATCAACGAGACAAGTTGCATATATACAAATCTCCATCAATATCATAAAAAAAACTGGTTAGCAACAAACATACGAGTGACCGATTTCTAAACGAAAACACTAAAACCCGTCTTTAAATTGGCCGAGTAAAGGGTTTGTCACATGTTACAGGTATGAATGACCAGATATGTGAAGAGTAAAAATCAAGACACTAGATATGAGACAAAATGTTATGATTAACAAGAAAACTTCCCACGTCTATTTTTTATCCGGGGAGAAAAAAATTCGGATCACTACATTCATCATTCAAAATATTGAAAAAGACTGGTTAGTTGATATTCTAGTTTTTGGTTACCATAATTACGGTAGTTCGAATTCGGGGCATCTGCTGTTTAGTTTATCGAAGACAGTAAGCTTCTTGAATGTTTAAGAGCACAGCTCTTAGGCGCCCGGTTCAGAGTTGAGCGGCGTCGGTGTCGGCTTCGGCGTCTCTCGCCATTGGCGTCAACGTAATCGCACGCATTGCATTATGGGACGTTTGCCCGCTAAACTCAATGGGGAAATTTGTTTTTTTCGCTAAGTTTAGCGAGGAAATTGAGCGGATAAAGTTTCCCCGCTAAATTTAGCGGAGTAATTGACGTCACATGACCTCACCACCAATTCAGTTTTCCCGCTAAATTTAGCGGGGAAAATTTCGTCACGACTTCGTGTCTCGTCACCATGAACAAGGAGGTTAGGTTCTATCCTCCTTGCCCATGAACAAACTCGGCAGCAGGAGAGGGGGAGGAAAGATGAAGGAGCAGGAGGGGCATACCCTCCCCTCTTCCTCCTATAAAGCTGTGCTCTAGTTTCGCATCACAGACATTTGTAAACGTCTTTTTTTTTATTTATTATAGAGCTGATTTTTGGATAGGTATTGTGCCAGTTTAAAATATTTGATTTGCCGTTAGCATGGTTTGCAGTGAAAGTCCTGCAGGTTTCCGTGGTAGTCCACATACAAGAGAGTAAATTTTATTGTGGAAATGGAGCTTTCCATATCCCAGCCCTAGTCTGGGCCTATGCGGTCGGGGCGAAGCACTTTACTTTTTCTCCACTGTCGGAACTCGGGGATTTGAGTGGAGTGAATGAACAAAGGGAAGCATTTAGCCGAGTTCATGCGGAAATTCTACTTGACGTTTGCATTCCATGGAGGTGTGCAGCAAATTTTTTTTACACCTTTTTTTTTTTTTATTTTCAAAACGTGGCTTTTCAGGAACCCTTCCTCGCCATTCAATAAAACATGATTTTTTTCTGCACCTTATTTATGAGAAAGTCAAGGGCAAGTGGTCCCTGCATTGCTATAAAGAAAAAAAAATTTATGTGCAGGCGAGATCTTTTTGTTCCTCAATCTTGGGATTCCAGGACGTGAACATTAGAGCGCACATTGTTGCGAGGCAACCGCTCATCTGCTCGTTAGCTTTCGACTGTGGAGAGTATAAAGAGTGTTCTGCTATGTAGTAGTACAGTGGTTCTCCAATGGGGGTTCGTGGACCCTCTGGGGTTTGCGAAGGTATTCTAGGGGTCCACGAAGCCCAGCCTCATCAGCCAAGGCCGGAAATAAAAGTTGTCTTCTCTCAGATTGAGAAGAAACGTCCCAATTTTAGGGTCAGTTTTTTTCGTATATATGTCAATAGGAGAAGTCTACTTCACAATAGCTCTTAGTTATATCCATTTATTAAATCACTGTCATAATTAACACTTTCCCTTCCCCTCACCACGAACGGGGTCCTCCATCATTTCCGCCGATCCCGCGAAACATCAATGGCCAAGAGCCACTGTAGTAGTAGTATGCAGTGGTCACTGCCAAGTTTGTGTTGTGTGTCCCGCCGAGATAGACTGTGCAGCGCAAGCTTTGCTCTTGAGCAGGCAAACGCATTGGCGGTGTGCCATTCGGAGCTCGGCTGGTCCCCATACCAGTCGTGATGGTTTAGTTGTATTAAATACACTCAACAATTTGTGATGAGGAAATGGAGTGAACCCGCAACGGTAGATCCCGGAAATCATGGTGACGCACGGCTTTGTGGAAGAATTTTCTGTCTTTTCTTCGTGGGTAGAGCAACTCCAGTACTACTTCCAGGCCCACAGCATTGAAGACTGTGTGAAGAAGCATGCTGTTTTGCCGACGCTGTGTGGGCTGACCACATTCGAGAAGCTTTGGTAGCACCCAGGATGCCAAACAATCACTCCTTCGAAAACACTGTCAGTCTGCTGCACGCTTGCTATGACCCTCGCCCGTCGGAGCTGTTCAGCCGCCGCAGGTTCCAGCGCTGAGATCAACTGCTGAATTAAACGGCCTGCGTGGCAGCATCAAAAGCACTGGCAGATGGCAAGTTCATTGACACTGCCGCTGACCGTTTCACCATCAAGTTCGTCGAGCAGATATCCTTGGCTGGACTCGACAATGTTGCCCATTGATGTAATGCTGTGCTTTGTGTGCGGTGGTGCGAGATGACAACCTACAGCGAAGGTTATTTGCTGAACAAGATTTAATGTTCACTAAGGCCTTTGACAAGGCCGTGTGCTGAAAACACAAAAGATTATCAAAAGAAGATTAAAGCTGAATTCAGAAAGTCAATAAGACGGCCCACTCAGAAGGCTCTGCCCCTTTTTTAAAGGAGGCAAAAACCAACAAACAGTGTTAGTGCTACGAACATTTGTAGAATCCTGAGACGTGCGACTTGCAAAGATCAAGGTGCAGGTTTTGCAAGAGGCCACATGAAAAGGCCTGCCTAATAAAGGCCAGCTTATCAAAGGAAACCAAATGGTTGCCTGCCTTGACTCTGCTGAGACTTGAGATTTTGCGACAATGGAGGGAAGTACTTTGCACGACCTAAATGCAATGTCGGAAGTCAAGATGACTTCATTAAAAGTAGCAGGAGTGCCGCTGCTATTCGAACTGGACTCCGGGGCAGCATATTTTATAATCAGGATTCAGAAAACTAAAAACACAAGCCCTCCTCCCCCACCCCAACCCCCACCGCTTACCCTTGCCAACATATCACTACGATTGATAGATATAATATCACTACGAAAATGGTAAGGAAGGGGTTTTCAACCCTTAGAAACAGTTCATGTGAGGTTGTGCTTCAAATAGTGCAGCAAGGAACTTTCTTTGGTCAGAACTGGTTCTGAGCAAGGAAATTGTAAACGCCTCAGCAGCATTCGTCATGTCCTCCGAAACCAGAATAAGGGGGAAGAAGTGCCTACCGATCCTACCAAGCTGCCGCCGAGATCGGCTGTGTAGCACGAGTCATGCTCTCGAGCTGATGAATGCGCGGGCGGCGTGCCATTTGGAACTCGACTGGTGCGCGCATTCCAATCATGACAGTTCACTTGTATTAAATACGCAGGTATTTAACAGTTTGGTGGCGGTTGATTGGCAAAGAAGGCTTGCGTACACGACAAATGTTTCATTGGGTGTTGTACGGCTGTACCACTCGCAGAGAACGGCCTGTTCCAGCACTCCATCCGCCCTAGGCCACCCAAGCCAATCCCAAGCCCTCCGCAAGAGCAATGACCCCGTCAGCCGTACACTTGTAGCGTGTAATGTGTAAACGCTGAATGTCTTTTTTTTTTTCTTTTTTTTTATCGATTGCGAAGATGAATTTTGCTGCCCGTTGACGTAAAACGTTAGGAAAAGACTACGATGATCGACGAAACGTGTTACTTCATTCACCATTTGTTGGGTTTCAGCCTCAGCGTTAGACTATTTCCTCCGGAATTTCGGGACTACATGGCGCCGACCGCGGAGGTACTTATCACCACCGCACCCCACCGCACCAGCGGTGCCAGCGGCAGCAGACCACCAGACAAGCTTGTTTCTGCCTATGTTTCTGCTCGCTTTTCTACACCAGCTGCCTGCCTACACGCTTTGACCAGCTTCGGCGGTCTAGCGACAGAGGTCGCCATTTGTAGCAAATTTTTTTTGGCGACGATGGGTGTTAAGTTTAATTTGCCTTTTCATTAAACGTACAAAATGACCACATGCGATTCGCATACATAGTGGAAGAACGAAGACACTAGGAGTACTTCACAAGCCGGATATTTGACGTCGTCGAGTGGTGTTTGTGTCAGTGCTTTCAGCGGCGATCGTCGAGGCTTTCCATCGCGGTTTGACGGGTGAGTAGGCTTAGTGTTCTCTTCGGTAAAAGGGCCTCTTCATGGTCCGCTGCACAGTTTTAGTGGCAGTTGTGGTTCAAAGAAGCGTCTGGCGCGGTTCATTTTTTCGCTAGGAGGCAGGCGAAGGGCTCGTAAATGGGTCCGTAGCAATGCAATACCGGTTGTAGGATGTCTCGCTAGTGTGGATCCTTTCGCTACTGGGACATAATTGTACTCGTCTGGATCGACGATAACCGCGCTCAAAACACCTTTGGTTCTCGGCACTAGTTGGATCGTGCCATCGCACGGTGACACGGCGCGAGCGAGGACGAGGATCGGAGTGCCAACGCGCTGTTCCTTCACTATCGGCCTCCTCGCCTGTTGATGAGGCTCCGTGTCCGTCACATCGCACGTCCCTGCCACAGAATTTTCAGTGTACGAGGACATTGAACCGCATGACGACGAGTATTGTCGGTGTTGACCCTGAAACCAGGCTCCTATAAAGTAAAGCCTCTCCCCGTTTCCCACTTGCCCTCTTCCTTCCTTTTTGTTTTGCAGAAAAGGAGGTCTTATGTGTTTTCACACTCAAGCCGCAAGATGAGTTTTAGCAGCGATGAAGTTAATTTTCTCGTGTACAGATACTTACAAGAATCGGGTGAGTTCCTCTTGGCTCTTTATTGCGACAGTCGCTAAACTGCTCCGATTTTCCAATCCCTCCTTTTGCTTTAATTTGGGGAATTGTTTTGGCTGCATGGAAGGTTTAATGGCCTCTAGTATCAATCGGGCCCTTTCTCTCTGCGTGTTTCGCAGCTACATGAATTCGTTTTTTTTTGTTTTTTTTTTGTGGCTCAAAATGGTAGCTTTATTTTTGAGATGCCATTTCTACATCACGTGACGTAACAAACAAAGCAAATAAGCGTTTTGGGTCGCTGGCTTCATTGACCCAATAAACCCCTAGATGCATGTGACGTTGGTGTGCCCCAACAGCATGGATCTCAATTAAGGCAATCACGGGTGCCATTTATCAGATAGCCGTGAAACACTCGCAATTGACCTATATTTCCTGTTTTTCTTTCTTTATTGGCTCTAGAAACTTTTAACAGTGATATAAACAATAATTTCTCATAGGTAGTATGTACCAAACGGAACACGCCAACTGTCTTGTGGGAATCCTGGCGGCAGCCGAGCAACGGTTTTCTGATGTAGCACTCGACAAAGCATCCCGAAGTGCTACGTCAAAGAGCCATTGTTCAGCTTCGTACAGGATGCCAGGACAAAGCATGCCCGTGTTTCATATACCGTAGAATACCGTGCATCCGTCCATACCACACTAAGCGCCCATATCCAAATTTGTAAGATCTGAGAAAATATGCACAGTATATTGATATGTAAAATTGATGACCGGACAAGCGCCCATCCCCCATTTTTTTGCGATTATCTCTAAATTGTGATTGAGCGCTTGCCCGGTATTTTACGGTGAGTTTGGCGAGTACATTTGATACTGCCAAACCTTGACTGTATTGTGACAGGGCCAGGGCCACCTCATGGATGGCGTGTTCTCGCGAGAGATTGCAAGAATGTAGCCGGAACAAGTGTGTGAGCGCCTCGCTTGCAGGGTTCTTCCACTCGGCGTACACGTTTGGCATTGAGAGCCACATCAGCCAGTCGAACATCAACGGGGCACTGGTGCCTCCGGCAGCGCTGCTCTCCATCATCCAGAAAGGGCTTCAGTACACGGAGGCGGAGATCAGCATCGGGGAGGTGAGCCCCTTCGGGTGTGCCACGGTTGGCCATGACAGGCTGCACGGGACTTTGCAAAGCCTTACCACGTGCCGCCCGTGGGCACGGCAGGGTCAGCTGGAGCTCCACTCACCGAGGCCGTCCCCATCGCGTGCAGCTTGACTTGGCAATCCGACCGACAGATTTCGCCCCTTTCAGCCGGGGTCTGAACACTTGGTGAAAAGGTCGGCGAGGAATTTGGTGGTCATGATTGGCCGGAACGGCCTTTTTCGCCAAGTGCCCAGATTAGAACCCTGGGACTGAGGTGGGAACCCGTGCGTCTCATGCAGCTGTGGCAGTCGCGTTTGTACGGTTTCATCGTGAAGCGTGTGTCGTAGCGGCAGCCCGCTTTCAGGGGGAATGTTTTGCAAAATTTCTCAGGCTCCGCCTCTGTTTGTTCTCGGCAGACACATTCCGCGGAATTTGCATCGTGGACGCCCCTTGACCTGAGGCACCAAAGCGTCTGTCTAAGGGCACTTGCCACAATCTAAACAAAACTCGCGCATTCCACCCAGGGTTGGGCAGTGTCACGTTACTAATGTATCGTGATATAGTGCAATCCACTTATAACGATCAGTTTCTAGAGGACCACGCATTTTTTCGTCAGTTATCCAGTCCAGATACAATGATAATTGGTTATAGCGATTGCAGTCTTGGGTTTTCTTTTTATTGTTATAAGCAGGCTGGGGGTCCTGCAGTATCTTAAAGGGCAACTCCGCTTCGGTTTTGATATTTAGAAAACTATGTAGCCCTCTTCAGTATCATATAGGAAGACCCCATGTCAAATATTACGATCTAATTCTGTTTATATATTTAATAAGCTGGGCCAGCAAACCTTCAAGTGAGCCAAGTCGCCGAAATCTGCCAACTCTAGCGTGCAGCGCGAGGCGCAATCACCAGCGCAGTCAATGCCACAGAGTTGGAGCAGCCGACATTGAGCCACTACGTCAGAGGCATGACTACGTCATTCTCACGTTTTGCTTGTTTTTACTTCTCGGAGCGAAATGGAACGATGACGTCATGAGTTTCTCTTCCCTCTGTTGGCTGACCGGGCGTTCACGTGATCACCGTTACACGGATGCGCTAGTTTGCGCTGCCCTGCGCGCTTATCGGTCTGTGTCTCTGCTCCCCTTCTCCTCTTTCGTCTTCTCCCCTTCCCCCTCTCCCCCGGGCCATCACCGTCCACGCCATGCGAAGCAACCTGCCCGCGTCCAATAAAAAAAAAAAAAAGAAAAAAAAAAAAAGACCTGCTCGCGTCGCGTGTCCTGTTTCTCGCTCTCTCCCAAACGTCACCAGACCACGTGGTTCGACTGGTTGTGGCCATGACTCTGACGACTTGAGACCAATGTCTCAAGCGGATACCTAGACCAGCGGTCTAGGTATCCGCTGATGTTTAAATTAGGATTACACAAATAATATTTCACATTTCGCGAATCCGAAGACGTAGAGTTGTTTAGTAGTGCTTTGTGAATTTAAATCACATGTAAGCCTAAATTTTTCGGAATTGAGCGGTGTTGCCCTTTAAAGGGATGGTGAACCGAAATTTGGATTTCAGAAAATAATGCCGGAGCTGTAGGCGGGACTCTACAATCCCTACAACACTACTCTTTAGGCGATATCTCAAATCAACGGCCACATTTTTGGAAAAAAAGGTCGAGATTGAACGAGGCCGACGAGGCGCATGACGTCAAGATATCCCGTTTCCTCCTCTTCGTTTCGCCCCCTCAAGGCGGCAAGGTGGAGAAGACGCGAGGCCGTTCCCTCTTCTTCTCGGAGAAACAAGACGGGAACATATCTGTCAAATGCACCTCCTTTTATTGAAAAATACGGTCATCTATTGAATATATCATTGTATGAGTGATGTTTTGATATTTGTTGTATCCCGTTGCATGCTTTTGCCTCCGTGCTTGGTGGAATCCAGATTTCAGTTGAGCATCCCTTTAAGATAATTTTCGGCATCCATACCTTTGCATCAGAATACATTTCAAACATGTATTTGTATTTCATTAGTGAAATACATTAATGATGTTTGTATCGCAATACTCTGTCAGGGTTATGTATCTCGTTACATCTGTTGTTGAAAATGAACTTTGGGGTTTTTACGATAAACTGAAAACTCTTTTTTAGTACAAGATGTCCGTGAACTTATAGTGAGCTCATTTGATTTGAAGATAACGTAATAAGGCAGGCGAGCTGGTCAAAGTTAAACATTTTTAAAACCCAAGACGGAGGCTACAAAGAGGGGACAAACACGAGACGTCTCAAACGCAGCTACTAAATTTTATTTGGGACATTTCTTTTATACCCGTCGTCTCCACACCGCCCTCCACTTGCACAAGGCCCAATTCTTTGGACGACGCCCTCAGTTAACTTACTGCCACCTTTTTGCTAGTTCAGAGCTACACAATGACCAAGGTCACTTCCATCCACCGACAAAGCCTCCCAACCGCTTGCAAATGTAAAAAGAAAACTGATTACAATTGCAAAAACGTTTTTGTTACACCATCGAGTGCCATTGATGGCTTACTTGTACAGTTTCCAACAGAAGCTATTCTAATGGTCTCCTTGAGGACTCTTTTCATACAATTGTTTTCTTTGAACAGCACTCAGCCACACAAGTTCCACACTCTTCCAAGATGTTTTGGAGTTAGGCAAATTATTTTTTCACTGCTTTCTCGCTCACTCAACCAATCATTCACACACTGTTTGGTTTGCCCTACATACGAAAAACCACACATCATCGGAATGTCAATACAACGCCTTCGTGGCAGTCGACTGAAGCATCTCTGTGTTTTTTTCTGGCAACCTAATTGTCCTCCCAAAAAGGGAGTCTGCTTGTCTAACCTAAAGCCACTCATGAAGAGCACTTTTACACCGAACCTCCCCACGATAGACATCAAGTTGTGGGACGCACCATGAAAAAACGAAACGCACACTGCCCTGTCAAAGACGACAGAGGGTCTTCTCTTTTTTGAGGGTCTTTTCTTTCTTTCCTTTAAGCGATAGCATCTGGAACGTCTTTCTTCTCCTTCTCTATAGAGTGTATTAAAATGTCAGTTGTCAGTTAGCGCCCTTCCTGTCTCCCTCGTCCTTCCTTCCTTGTTGTTTTGTGTTCTGTATACTCATGATGGACAACCAACTAGCCCGTTACATCATCTTATTGTAATTGATGTACCTGCCTGTTTGTCCTATGTATTGTTTTCCACACCCCATTTGAGCGATTGAGAATTTTGGACGGGCACAGCAACAGGTTTGTGGCAGAGAAATTATGGAATCTTTCAGCATGAATTCAGTTAATAACAATATTTCGGTGCCTTCAATCATTTTAACTAAGGATAACTAAGAATTGGCATAATTAAATTTTATCTGCCATCCGACAACACAATTTTTCTGTCACTCTTTTTTCTGTCCCCGTTCCTCCTGTATTTACTATGTCACTTTTTTTCCCTTCTGGGCAGGGGTCGGTTAAAAAATACCCCGCTAGGAGATTCACTGTATCTGTGTTGCAAAGCGAAAGAAGAAGCGTCCGTTGTCCCTTGGTATTAAGTGTGTTATTCTTTTCATCGTCTTTGTCCAAAAAACAATACGCTCCCAAGTTTATATGCCCTGTCACTCTGTGTCTTTTGCCTCTTTGCCATCCCAGTGATTTTCAATATGAGTTTCCTAGCCTCAAACATTGTGGTGCACATGCCAGGCGGTGAAACAGTTCTTAAAGGTGGTAAAACATAAGTAAATCTCGCGAGTACTACAGAAGACATTGTGCTAAGCTTTGCACTCATCATAACACACATTGCAGTAGCGCCCCTTCTCCATTTTTGGGGGATTGTGATGGCGTTCAGGGGCAGGATGGGGTTGGAATACTCTCCATCAAGTCGAAAAAGCCGTTAGGTTAGCTCTGTTCGGAACACCAGTCGAACGTGAACTTCTGTAGAGTTCAGTAGTGTTTGGGTGCTGCTTGAAATAGAATGTAGCTGTAACAGAATGGAAACACTTTATCAGGATGTTGTACAATCCGATCAACTGGTCCGATTTGTCAACTCCAGGCATTGCAGTCGTCGACGTGCCGTCTTGATGGAGATTTGTGACTATGTATATCCTCTTCTTTTTGCTCTGACAGCACGTCCTTCTTGGCGATACATACAGTGCTTATCTTCATTGAAAGTAGAGTACATTTTGATCCCGTAGCCACCGAAATGAGACAATCGTTGTCCGACTTGCTCGTGCTAGTGTCATCAACAAGGTCGACCGCAGATGCGTGAAACGCTTCAGAGGTGGATGAAGACAAAGCTGCGCATTTGCTTTTGATAAATCGCCATCTCGTGGGAAAGAGAAGCATATGGAAACTGAAACTAGATTATCTAACCTAACGACCAGATGCCATAACTTGTCCAGAAACGTATAGGAGGCTTTGCAATGAGGCTCGCAAATGGTCGATCACGAGCGACGGATTTTGAAGTGTGGAAAGAGTTAGGGTGGCCGCTTCCCGGCGTAACCTGCCCTCGAGAGTGTTGAAGGAACTTGGAGCGAGATGCAATACCAATCCGGTGGTGCCTGCGCCGAGTTGGAGTACTCCGCACAATCACCGCCTGAAGCGGCGGTCTTACCTTTTCCAGGATGGGTCGGAGCGGATGATAGAGTCGCTGTCGCTGATAGACGCCGTCATGCCGGACGTGGTGGCCTCTCGGCAACAGCAGGCGCACAACAGCAAGAATGCGGTGGTCAAGGCCGAGCCCAACAACACCAACGGGGACGACGCCGCCCACAACTTCGGTCAGTGGGCCCTTGCCCGTCCCACCCGTCTGGACCTTTAGATGCAAAGACGTTTTATGTTAGGGATGCAAAATTTTGATGCAAAAAGACTAAGACGGTGGCAAGGTTTTAGAAAGAATGGAGAAAATATTCTCTCATTGTGGTTGGTGTGCATGGATGTCTTGCCAGCTGCACGCACTTGGACGTGCGAGCGAGTATGAGAGTGTAACGGGGCTCCTCCCGCAGCGGCCAATCACAACGAGACGATGGAGGTGGACGGCAGCGTGGAAATCCCGAGCAGCCGGGCGACGATACTACGGGGTCACGAGTCGGAGGTGTTCATCTGTGCCTGGAACCCAACCTCTGACCTCTTGGCATCTGGGTGAGACACTCTCCTGACTAGCCTGGTACATTTCCATCTCTCAAATGAAAGGTTTTGCAATATATCGAATGCTACTCATATGAAATGCTCCTTTATGACAGTGTCAATAGAGCCAAGAAAGACAGTACGGAAACTGGGAGTGGTATTGTTTTATTCTACCCTCGGGGCATTACAGAGGAGAATGGGAACGCAAGTACAAACATAATAAACAATAGTTAATACGGTTCAAATGGGCAAATAAAAACTTGCTAGTGTTTGCTTAAAGCAATAGCTGCAAAAAAAATGATATGCTCTATGATTTTGCGGGGTACGCTGATAAGAGATATTGGCCTGTAGCTAGACGAGCTGAAACGGTCGCCAGTTTGGTGAATTGAAACGCCCTTCCCGATCTTCCAGTCTTTCGGAAGAACACCCCAATTTAAAGATAGCTCAAACAATGGCGACATGGTGATGGACGAGTACATTTTGATGCTTTTAAGAAATTTTGCACTTATGTGCCCAGTGCTGACGACACCTTGAGTCCCTAAAATATTTTAACAGTACCCGATGGGTCAAAAGTGATGGGAACATTGGTGATAAATCGTATGCAAAATCATGATAGGCAAAAAAAATGACATCTCCGGCTGGTTCATTTAAATGTGAGGATCTGTTTGGAAATTTTGGAAACAAGTTTGGAAATTTTCGGGGTAGCACGAGACTTTTAATCGGTTGTTTACTCACAGTTTTAATTAGTGATGGGGTGGAACTTTTTTTGAAACAGGTTTCGAACCCAAACAAGGATTTCTGAAAGTTTCGGAGAAAAGGCCAAACCTCGGTGCGTTTTGGATACGTTTGGAGCGTTGCCAGAGTGGCCGAACCAGATTATTGAGCGTTGCAACCTTTTTTTTAACAAAGCAATCGTATACACCTTTCCAAAAAACACTCGACCCCAGGGGCAACAAACCGTTTTCGAGCCCAGTCATTGAGTTTGAGGCTAGACTCTCACCGGCGTCCCTCCTAACCCTAACCGAGTGGACTGTGATTTCAACAGGCGCAGCCTGCGTAGGCGCAGTTTCAAACGCTGCTGGCGGCTAAATTCTCGTATTTTCCCGCTATATTTTGTGTTTCATGGTACATGTATTTTCCCGAGGACATTAAAAAAGCATTGTGCCACATTAAAAAAAAAAAAAAAAGAAAAGAAAATTGTGAACTATTTTTGACGAAAGTAATCCCTGGAGAAGGGGAACAAGAGGGACAAAGGACAAACATAAATCTCCAAACACAGCTAGGTGACTGGTGAGCGACCGGAAAAATCCGCCTGGTCCGGGTATCGAACCCGGGACCTCTCATTTGTCCCTCTTGTTCCCCTTCTCCAGGGATTACTTTCGTCATTCTTGTCCAGCTCGCTTGCATTATAGTTATAACTATTTTTGTTGGGTACGCGCGCGATAGAACGAATGCGACTGGAATGTATAGTTCTAGTCATTTGTTTTTTTCTCGCGATAAGTTTTGACGGTGCCGCAGGATTCGCCGTATGTGAAATGACAAAGCGCTTTGCTGTCAAAAATAAATTGCAACCGAAAAGGGCCGAAAGTCGTGCATTTTTCACGCTCACAAATAACGTGTTTACCGATGGACAGGACACGGACATACAATTCAGGGAGTGTTAACATCCAAACGATATATCGTACGTACCACATGATGCAGCGTTATCCGAAAATAATTTATTTGAGAAAGATCTCAAATAACACAGTCACAGTCGACGACAGTCACATCCTGACGATCGGACGGAATCCAAGATGACTTCGTTTCAAGGCACGTTTCAGAGAGAGCTTCCTTTTTTCACAACCGCACCAAGGCAAAGAAACAAATGCGACTGACCCGTTTCTCACCCCAACCCGGACGACTATTTTTGGAGATGACTGAGGATTCTACGCGGATTATCTCTGGGAGGGGGGAGAACAATGTTCGCAAAATCGCGTCGAGGGTCGTTCGACGTCCTTCACCTCCTTCGCTTCCCGTGAATGTAAAGCAGAAAAACTTGAATGGCAGGCACTTACCAGCCTTCTTTCTCATAATGGAGGATAACACAAGAAGAGTACGCAGCACGCATAAAGAAAATTAAGTGGAAACTTTCAAGACGGGCGAGAAAATCTCGAATGCAAAACCGCAAAAACGTAGGTAGAGAACCGCGCTGAGCGGGTCTTCACAGTCTCAGAGAGCGGCAGAAAATTTCTAGCTGATAAAGGGCGCGAGAGTCGTGCCAGCCGCATCAGCATCAGCAACATGCCAGTGGCCTAGGAGCGTTTTTTGGAAAGGTGTATAAACCACATGAAATAATTAAAAGTCTAAATATAAATACTTAATTTAGCAAAATAGGCTCGTTCAAATAAAATCTGAGATATGGAGAAATAAAATAACAGACTACACGATACAAAGTATGGAGAATTTGTGTCTTTGGTCAAAATGGTTTCAATTTCACGACTTCCATAGTAGTCGGGTCGTCACGTGACCAAAACAAAGCGGGCGGGTGTGCAATATTGATTTGCACAAATTGCAACGCTCGTTCTCATCGCATCAATAGCTCGACGACGTATGTGGAGTTGGTTCCATGTGCCGGGAACGTTGCACTTTATGTTGACACAACACGGGTGGCATGTGGAAGTGATTGTGTCGGAAGATCTCCGGCCGTCTGTGCTGTGCAATCGAGAATATGCGCACGTGCTGCTCGAAAGCTCCTGTACTGTATACTGATGTGTATAGGAAATAAATGTTGTATATTTATGTACAGCTCGTTCCAACAAACTTGATAAGTGTGCTAGCAACGCGGCTACTGACGTATGTTTCCACGGGGTCACGCCGAGCGACTATTTTTCGCGGCAGCACCGGCTGCAAACAAATGGCGGTGACAGACCTTCGCGAAGCTCAGGCTATTTGCACGGTACAGATTAATAAAGTTTGTTCTCTAAAAACACTGATAGAGACCGCAGACAAAAACTTTCCACCGTCGGGCAACTGTTAGCGATCGAAGCTCGCGCAAACAAAATAAAATTGTAGAGAAATCGTACACGAAAATTCCTCTCCACACAACATTTTTAGGTGTCTGGCACGGTTGCTTGTTTTTGACGGATGTGAATTGTTCCAATGCGTCGGGCACGGTGTTTCTCTACATCATTTCTTCTTTGTGTGCAGGCATCTCCCCGCAGTTCATCCCTACCCTTTCACGCGGGCTGTCGGCCAGAATGAAATGTCTTTTAGAAAACTATCGCTCCCCGAGAAAGTTTCTTTAGCTCTTACCTCGTTCTCGATTAAAGGGAAGCTACGGAGCTTCTCGGAAAAAATGAGTTAGAAGTGAATTCTAGTGTATTTTTACCCCGGGAACCCGAATACCCAAATCATTTGCTGCGTAAGTATTGTTAAACGCGAGAAAAACGTGAAAGACAGTCGCTGTCCATGACGTCATCGACGGCTCTTTTGGCTGCCCAAGGCTAGGGGGGCGGGGCTTCAGCCATATTTTGAAATTGCTCTTGTAACTCTCCGGCGCGTCGCATTGAAATATAATTTTGATATCTGTTATTCTAAAAACCAAATGAACGCAATTCAAGCGTTTTTTCTCAAATGTAGAAGTGCCCCATCTTTCCTTTAAACATCATGCGCAAGCCTAAACAGTACCTAACTCCATTTCCCCGCCTACTCTTTCGATGCTCTTCGGCAGTGCTACACGGAGCCGATGGTACCTTGAGTTTTCGTGTTTTTGGCATCGCTTTCTTCCAAGTTCCTAGAGACGTCCGGGTGACTACAACTGTTTTTTCGCGCTTGATGACAAACTAAAGCATTGCTAACAACATAGTAGTAGAATCCAAGTGAATACCGGGCGGGGCATCCCGAAAAGATGATGTAGACGTACCAGAGCCATATGCAGCCGGGAAGCCTAAAAGCGACGTCTACAGGTAGCGTGGCAATGGCACCACTTCCGGAATGCTTGGCGGGATCAATCCGTTGGTTCATCTTAACGGGATCCTTTTTAGGTCTTTTGGAAAGCAAATGCCGAATTAAGTGGTCACTGATTCCTGGTAAATATGAAATTTAATCGACTGCATCGGGATGTGTTGTTTCTGAGGTCAAGAAGATTGGCTTACAAGGTCGTGATTCTTGTGGGTTCAACAGCCAGTTGCACTATATTAAAATTTGTGTGGAAGTTTAGTAAATCTTGGCTTTCAGATGAGTTATGTGAGAAGAGAAAACAGATAATATTTGGGTAGTTAAAATCACCGGCAAGAAGCAGAGGGGTATACCTCGTTACAATTCTGTAAACAGTGTCGTGTAACGACTAATCAAAATTCAAAGTAGAGTTAGGTGGACAGTAACAAATGTTTTTGTGACCCAGATGCAAGTGCACAGTTACTGTTTCTAGTCTAGATGCTATATTAACGTGAAATGGCTCAATACAATTAGCAACTGCAACTAGCACACCCCCACCTGTCCACGGTTCCCTATCATGTTGGTAGATGTACCGCTCACCGTGAGGAAATATTTCATTGTCGCTTATTTTGCTGGGCAGCCATGTCTTGGTCAACACGACGACATCGGCAGATGATGAATCGAGAGTGGAGCATAATTTGTTGCATTTCTTTATTAAACTTCTTATACTTGTGTAGAAAAAAAGAAACGTTTGTTTGTGTCGAGTTTGATACTTGTATAATGCATGATCGCTTTAACATTCCCTGTACAGGGTGTCACAAAAGAAAATTTACACGGTCTTTTTTACTGCAAAAATAAACTAGGCATGACCGAACGCTCATTCTCTGCCCAAAGGTAGCGCTAGAGGTCACAACCAGATGCCAAAGTTTCAGCCTGATCCGATAACTTAATCAAAAGTTATAAGTGATTTTCTGAAAATTTCAATGGGAAAATGGCGGCCGACCGAGTTTTCAAACACATGGGGCTCTATGGCACCAGAAACCGAAAACGGGCAAAAATAGGCTCCATTTTTTCATTGAAATTTTCAGAAAATCACTAAT